TTTCTTTAACAATATCCATCTGGATATTTAATCCATTCATTAAGCTTTTAATTTCCATTTTGTATTTATTTTGTATTTTTTTAAAGATTTATTTATTTATTTGAGAGAGAGAGAAAGAGCACAAGCAGGAGGAAGGGCAGAGGGAAAGGGAGAGAGAGATAATCTCAAGCAGACTCCCCACTGAGCACGGAGCCCACCAGGGGCTCCATCACATGACTCCATCACATGACCTGAGCCAAAACCAAGAGTCAGTTGGATGTTCAACCAACTGAGCCACCCAGGCATCCCCATTTTTATATTTATTATGTTTGAAATTATATTTTCATCCCAATATGACTGTTTTTTTTAATAGTCTCTTCTTATTTATATTTCCACTCTCCTATTTATTTAAGATTTATTTACTTTAGAGAGAGAGAGAGAGGGAGAGTCAGAGGCATAGGGAGAGGGAGAGAATCTCAAGCAGACTCCCTGCTGGAGCACGAGCCCACTCAATCTCATGATCCTGAGATCATGACCTGAGCCAAATCCAAGAGTCAGATGCTTAACCGACTGAGCCACCCAGGCACCCCACCAATCTCCTACTTATTTAAAGCTAGTATACAACTTATTTCATATCCTGTGTCTGATAGAATCAATACTTGAAGATTTTGTAAAACAAATTTGGCTGTCCAATGCTCTTGCTCTTGGTGCTTTCGTTTTCCCTTGTTTGTTTTGTGATTTTTTAAAAAGGTGAACTCTCACATTCCTTGAAACTCTGACTATGGAAAATTTTATAGCCTGGGTTAAAGGGGTCTTTCCCCAGAGACGGTTTGTATACATTTCTGTAGATGCTTAAGAACTTCCCACAACTTTAAGTTAAATTCTGCTTTTGAGATTTTCTGGACCATGAAGTATTTTGATTTTATGTTATAAATCCAAGGAGGGATTCACAGAGGAGAATTTTTCCTCTCTTCTCATCATAAAATTGAAGTAGGCAATTTTTACCCTAACACTGGGGGTGAGGGTGGGAGTATTTCTAGCTCATCTTACACTGCGATAATTGGTCTTTGGAGTACCAGTTTTATGGGAGGTAAGGTGGAGAGCCAGGGATTAGTATATTAGACTCTTCATGTTGGGAAACCCTGAGGCTTTGTATCCTGCCCTCTGCACTCTGTGAAATTAAGAAATCATCACCCTAAAGTCACCAGGTTCTTCAAATATAACAGACTCAGGCTTTCTCTAGGTTCCTATTTTCACTCATGTTTTGGTCTCAATATTAATTGCCTTGGGTTGTTACAACAAAGCACCACAAGCAGGATCTCCTAAAACCACAGATTTATTCTCTCACAGTTCTGGAGACTAGAAGTCTGAAACCAAGTGTTGACAGGGCCATGCTCTTTCCAAAGCCTTAGGGCAGGATCCTTCCTTGCCTCTTCCAGCTTCTGGTGGCCCCAGGCATTCCTTGGCCTTTACTCCATTCTCTGCCTCCATCTTCACATGGTCATCCTCCCTCTGTGCCTGTGTCCAAATTTTCCTTCTAAAAACACCAGTCAGGGGCGCCTGGGTGGCTCAGTCGTTAAGTGTCTGCCTTTGGCTCAGGTCATGGTCCCAGGGTCCTGGGATCGAGCCCCGCATCGGGCTCCCTGCTCCGTGGGAAGCCTGCTTCTCCCTCTCCCACCTCCTCTGCTTGTGTTCCCTTTCTCGCTGTGTCTCTCTCTGTCAAATAAATAAATAAAATCTTAAACAAAACAAAACAAAACACCAGTCATATTGGATTAGGGCCACTGTAACGCAGTATGACCTCAGCTTAACCTGATTACATTGGCAAAGACCCTATTTCCAAATGAGATCATATTCACAGGTACAGAGGGTTAGAACTTCAACATATTGAACCTCAACATTTTGAGGGGAATCAATTCAACTTATTTATTGTCTCTAACAATTTCTTAATTTCCTACCACTTCTTGAATGCTCTCTTGTATATTCTACCATTTTTATAGCCATCATCTATACAATCCTTCTGTCTCCTATTTGATGTCAGCTCTTATATCTTGCTCTTTTCATTCTGCTTGCCCACAGCAACTCCCTTCTTTTTCCCACTGAGTTGTGGAATTAGAAATCAGAAAAAAAAAGTCTTATTAGAAAGGAGCATAAAATAAGAATAAGGCTTTACATGGGGACTCAGTAGATATAGTTGTGAATAGAGTAGAAGGAAATTATGGCACGGACACTGTAATACTTTTGGGGGGATGCTCATAGGTCTTTTATCCCTAGATCACTGTGGTATATCTATCTAGGCTTTTACATCACAAAGATCTGGGGTTGAATCTTTTCTTTACCTCTTATAAATTGTATACATATGTAAGCTCTTAATTCCACAATTCCCTCATCTGAATAAAAGGAGTATCCTAATAACAACCACTTTTTAGGGATGTAGATGGATAGCATAGTTAGCAGCCAGAGTGGGTGGTGAATAATTGTGCAAACAACTCTTTCTGTGTTCCAAATGGGTAAGGACTTGGAATAAGTTGCCTCTGACTCAAAGAGGTGAAAAGGAGTGTCTGTTCTTTTTACAAACAATCCTGTGGAGTCATTGCAGGGGGATCCTAGATAAGGAAGGCAAGGCACTGAGATGTGAACTCACAAAACATGAAAGGAAGATACTAATAACCACACAAAATGTGAACATCTATTTTGGGGATGATGAGGGGTTCTGGATCCCTTAAAGGGGAACCTGGAATTCAAGTGAACTAGCTCCTCCTTCTGTTTGCAGCTCTGCCTGCCGACAGGCTGTTGCGTCCCTGCCTGAAAAACCACCTTTCCTCCAACTACCATGACACGTCATCTCTGTCAAGCGGGAGGGAGGAAATGGAGAAAAGAAACGCCAGGCAACGTTTTATACTGTATTTTACACCCTGAACACAAACCCCAAAGATTTTTACCACGTATCTGAAAGCCTCACCCGGGCCCCCACTCCAGAGCAGCTTTCTAATCTAGGCAAGGAGAAGCCGGAGATCTCCCACCGCCCTGTGCCTGCCTCACGTCCATGTGAGAAGCAGAGCTCACACGTCTAACTCCTCTTGGTCTTTACCCAGACAGCACGCATATGGGAGGGCGCTCCACCTGCTCCACCAGTCCCCGGCAGTAGCTCCTGGTGAAAAATAGTATGTTTGGGGCCCACCATTTACCCAGGAGTGGTGCTGAAACAAGGTGGTGAAGAAATGAGTGACGGAGGGAGACAGCTGGAGAGGCCAGGGAGACATTGTGGGCACTGTCCCCTGTGAATCCATTAGCTCCCCACGAAGCCCACGCATTCTGATGGCCTTCAAAGCAATTTCTCTGAGTTTCAGTGAACACAGGTGTCTAAAGGTGTTTTCTAAGCTCAGCTTCAGACAAGCTGCTCCTGCTGCCAGTCTTCAGAGCCCTAGGATTAAGTCTGGGCAATAAGTGCAGCCTCCACAGTGCTGGTCAGGCCACTGCAGATATTGTGAGATGCTCCGTGGAGGTGCCCTGGCTCCCTTCGGGGCAGGGCGAGGTCTGTCCAGGGTCAGCTGGCTGCCCAGTGGGGTGGCAGGTCTAAGGAAGTTAGAGGTAAGAGGAGGGTGGATCCAAGCTGGAGTCCTTGAGCGGGAACTGGAGATACAGACACTGAAGCCAGAGGGGCAAGAGTGGGGTCATTGGTTGGAACCAGCCAGATGTTGGGGTGGTCTGCATGAGGGCTGACAGTGAGGAGGGATATCTTGGATGATCGCCAGAACACCAGCAGGTTCAAGGTCCTCTCCAAGGGCTGTCACACAAGGATCTACCAGGCTGCTTAAAATTAAGATCTCCATAGACAGGACAATGGAGACCACTGTGGAGACAAGCCACAGTTTGAATGTTGGGATTTCTGTGAGGATAGGACCACAACCTGGGCAGAGGGGTGGGCTTCCCTCTAGGATGAGGTGCTTCATTGTATCCGTTGTCACATTCCTGCCGACCACCAGGGGACTTCATGCGTCCCTCAGATGTGATGAGAGTGGGGTGTCATTCTGGAGTTATCTTTTCATGGGCCCTGGAGAAAGAGTCAGAGCCTAGAAAATGTTCCTGGGGCATGAGAAATTAAATGATGCCTATTGTGGATTTGCACCATGTGCTGACAGTTGCAAAAAGCCCTCTAATTTGGGGCAGGATGGTGGCTACCTCTGAAGAATGGCATGAGGTATGAACGGGTCTGAGTATCCGACCAGCACATGGTGGGGTCAGAAAACAGAATGGAGTGAGCCTGGCTGTGTTTTGCTCTTTATACCCCATGAGTTTATTTCCCTATAGCCCTCTTTTTCTTCTCTTCTCTTTTCTTTTTTAAGATTTTATTTATTTATTTGGGAGAGAGAGAGTGAGAGAACATGAGCAGCGGGGGAGGGACAGCGGAAGAGGGAGGGGGAGAGGCAGGCTCCCCGCCGAGCAGGGAGCCCGGTGATGGGTTCAGTCCCAGGACCGTGGGCTCATGACCTGAGCCGAAGGCAGACGCTTAACTGACTGAGCCACCCAGGTGCCCCCCTGCAGCCCTCTCTTGACAAAGTCTTTAGGAAAGCTCTCTGGGCTACTGTGGAGGAGGCAGAGAATATCAGAGTGAGAAATCCCAAGGGGAGGTGACTCACTCTGAGAGTCACTGTGGTCCAGCCACCCCTCGATGCCTGCAGGTGTCTTCCTAGAGCACATCTTTGCTCAGCCCTGAGGCGGCTACGTTTGGTTTTAACAAAGAGGTGGTTCCTATAGTAGGGAGCTCAACTCTCCCATGTCCCCAGCCCTAACCAAAGCAGTTTCCGAAGTCCTTTTCTTCCCGAAAATTCTATAGGTCTCCTCCTCTGTCTCTATCCTGTCCCCAAGCAGCTCTGATCACACACATGAAGCAGGGTTAGGGACTAGACATTCAGAATCCACCTGTGACCCTCACCCTTGGGCCCCATTTCTTCACCCCCTAGACTCATTTACCTTTTGGGGAGCAGAGCCAAGCCCTCTGGGTGGGAACCCTTGCTTACCCTGATCCCCAGCTCGACATTCTCGCCTCCGTAGACCTCCATGCCTTCGTCCAGTAGGCCGATCTCCTGGAAGTACTGCCGGTCCACAATAAAGCAGCCGATGAGGGCAGGGCTCCTGCAGGGGTGTAGGGAGATGGGCCAGCAGTTAGCAGAGGGGCCGCATCCTGGGGACGGCCAGAGGAGTCTGAGCAGTGGTGCCTTCCTACGGGAGGATCTCTTCCTCTTCCTTCCTTTGCCCCCAGAGCCGGTGTGGGCCTCGTTCTCTGAGTGGCCCTCCCAGGCCCACCTTCATCAGCTGCTCTAGGGAGGTGGTTTCTTCAGGGTGGCGGCAGGGATGCTCCGGTCCTGGGGCCAGTCCTCATTGCGGGTGGTGCTGAAATGGGTGATGGCCCAGGGGAGTGGTGCTCAGCCCGCCAGCCGGGCCCGAGTGTCTGCATCTCTAGCTGCCCTGACACCTGAGCTCCGAACCACACAGCCAGTCTCTGTTTCTACCTGGGCACCTGAGCTAACTCCCCACCCTTCTTCAGCTTGGGTTCTGCACATCAACCCGGCTCACTTAGAAAGATCAGTCGGAGCTTTGGAGAGCATGGTAAATGACTTGGATTTTATCTGGAGGTAAAGGAGTGTCAGTGGGGAATTTTAAGCAGACTTTGGTATGAGCAGAAAGAAGTCAGTCAGAGAAAGACAGATACCCTATGATTTCACTCCACATGGAATTTAAGAAACAAAATAAATGAACAAGGGAAAAAAAAAAGAGACAAACAAAAAACCCAGACTCTTAAATATAGAGAACAAACAGATCTGTGCTTTTAAAAGGACTCTTAGGCAGCTGGGGGGTGACTGCCTGGAAGAGGCTGGGTGGAAAGAAGAATCCAGTTGGGAAGCTTGGTGGTAGGTCTAGGGAGAAATAATGACGTCCTTGACCAGAGGATCAGGAATGGGAAGAGGGATTGTTTAAAGACACATCTTAATGTAAATCCACAGAACTTAGAGGCAGATGAACAGGTGAGAGAGAGGGAGCCATCCGGATGCCAGCTGGCTTTGTGGCTCGGGTAATGGTGGGGTGGGGAGCACCCATCAATGTGGGCTGTAGAGAAAAAGCTGGTTTCAGAAGGAAGAAGCATTCCCTACTGGGAAAACCGATCTGAAGGTGCCTGTGGGACACTAGCGGGAGATAGCCAAGTGGGTAGGGCTTAGCGGATGGCCTGTCTCTGGCCGGAGGAACACATCCACAGCCAGTCAGTGCAGGAGCTGGGGGGCCTTTCCTGAGTGAGAGTGTGAGTGTGGGGCTCACCGGCTGTGGGCAGGTGCCCAGTGAAGCACAGAACTTCACTAGGAGTGATTGGGATTGGGAGAATCAGCGTGAGTGCACTTCTCTGCTGAGAGCATTAGCTTACACAAATGACTTTGAATTGTTCCACTGCACACAGCTACCATTTCTAGCCCTTGTATAGCATCTTATCAGCTGGTGGCTGAAGGAGTCGGAGGGGAACAGAAAGAAAAAGAGAAATGATGAATCCCCAGCTATGAGAAAACTGTCAGTCACATGCAAATGGACCCATCTTTGAAATTTGGAAACTCATCAGGGTGGAGAAACAGCTCTTTTGCAGGCCATAGCTTTGGACAATGCCGGTACAGGAGGCTGCTCAGGCAGAGACTGGAGCCTTGGGGTCCCTGCCCCTCCTCCTTTCAAATCACAGCATTTTATTCTGGATGGGCTTACATCCCATAGACCGCAGGCAGCCAGGGCAATCAATCTACTTCAATCCACTACTCCGAAAGTAGGCTGAGCTCCCGCTTTAGTGGAGGATGCTTGTTCCTGTCCTTGGAGTTGCATGCTATGAGTAAAGTCCCTGCTTGGCCGTGTGTCACTGAGAAAAGTTCCCCAGCTTCTTGGAGCCTCTGATTCCATATCTATGAAACAGAATCAACTATAACCTCACACAGATTAAATTAAATAATGTAAAACCTTGAAAACCTCTGGGGCATGATGGTTACTTGAAAAATCATTTAAAAAGAGGCGCCTGCACATTGAAGAAGCCCAGAGAATCCCCTCTTTAGATGCACGGTGATTTAAAAACATCAGCCGGGCAGAGTGGGCAGAATGAAGTCTCAACCTTCTCCTTGACATTCTTGAAATGTTGAGTATTTCAACGTGGTGTTCCAAGACACACAGGAAGGGGTCTTCCCCCATTTGGCCAAACCCACTCAGGGAAACATCAGAATCTAAAACAGTTACGGTGCAATGAGCATGGGCCACTTCAGACAGTCTATTACTTATTAATCAGCTAGGGTATGAAGTGGACCCAGTCAGCCTGAATGTGTTATTGGCTTATACCTTACCTCGTTCCCAAAAAGATTAGAGATAGCTTACAAAAAATGTACAATACACTAAAAAACAAAATACATAAATGTCTGAAAAGACCAAAAGTTCACAACAAATTGGGGGCCAGTTAGAACACAGCATTAGGTCCTCCTTCACAGTTCTTAAAGGAGACCCACAAAATTGATGCTAAGCTTCCTGGTAGCCAAGGTGAAAATGAACAAACATGTCTTAGAAATAAGATTTATAGTTCCCATGTGAAAATTTCACACTCATTCCTTGGGGCTAACAAGATTTTCTTTGACTAGCCATCAGTTTGAAAGAAATTTCTCATGTCAGTCTTCTTAGAGGTCACTTTGGGACATAGTGAACAACCGTCTCAAAGACGTCACTTTAGAAAGCAATAGAAGGTATCTCTGGGCTCTTTTTATAGCTTACATCATGTGGCACAGCACTGACGTACAGCTCCAAGGAAACAGGAGCCAAAGTGGGCAAGGTATGTTTGTATAACCCACAGTTTTCCGTGGGGTTATTTTCATCGAGGAATAAAATCAATAATGTTCTTCCCCCAAAATTCCATGAATATAATTTCTCTCAGGCAAGTTTTTGACAAGAATTAGGTGATGAAAACTTTGCACTGAGACAATACTCTCTGTCAAGGGCCTAGAATGCAGGTTTACTACGACTAGGCCAACACATTTCAAGATGAGCAGAACAAAGCAGCGAATATTAGTGCAGTCTTCTGCAAGAATGTTCCTTGCATGACAGCATACCTCCTTCCAGGATCATTCAGCATGCTGAATGACAGAATTCAGCCATGCCATTTCTGAGCTCAACAGTGGGTGTCTATGGGATGACAACTAGATGTGGAATCTAGCTGACCTAGGTTTGGATCCTGGCTCCACTGCCCACAGCCTTTGGCAGGGCCATTCTCCTTCCCCCATCTTGTGGGTTTTCCTCATCTTGTAAAACAGGGATGACACAATGAGCTGTCACAAGGTTATAAGGAGGAGCAAATGAGTCCATGTGTGTAAAAGGCCCTTGCACATAGCAACATCCAAACAAATATTTAACAACACAAAATTGTGGCAGGGGCTAACAGGTGGGTAACAGAGATAACTGTGAGAAAGCTAGATGGTTCTCTTCCATCCTGTTTTAAATATGAATACAGTTTTTTCTTCTGGCAAGGAAAGATGTGATCTCAGATAATAATCGCCCACATTCAATTAGATTTTTCATAATCTTTCTCCCTCAGGTAATACAAAGCAACATCAGTTTCTAATCTCCTCTTTCATTCCAAGAATTGTCCCCTAGGCCACCTCTGGTGCCATCTGTGTGTTTAATGGGCAGGACTTTGCAGAGAACATAAAGGCACCTGATCTGTGATTAACCAGACAGAAATAAGGGCTGGTGGTGTGGCTGTTTCAGAAGTCCCGACCCAGAGCACAGAGGCTGCCCAAGGGAGTCATCTGGGGTCTGTGAAGGCAGCAGTGAAGGCAGAAAGAGCTTGGGATCCTTGAAATGCAGTTTGAAGCTACTTTTAACTGAATCCTACAGGATAAACTCAAATAGCAGCAAGGCATAAAAGCTGCTGTGGGGTCTGATCTTGCCTCTCTGCCCCTCCAGCCTCATTGCATGGGGCTCCGTCCTCATACCCCTCCTCACAAACGTCCCTTTATACTTCCTCTGTGTCCATGAACTCACTCTGTCTCCAACTATGAGTGTTCCTGCCCAACCTTGCCACCCACTATATGCACTTAAAAACAAGTGCAAATCCTAGTCTCCAAAAAAGATTCTCCCCACTTTCTGGGCAGTTTCCTCCAGCAATCATTTATTATTCTAATTATTTTGTCTATCCTCACTAGACTGCAGGCTTTTGGGGGCAGGAACTGAGTCTTAATCACTCTGGATCCCCAGCACCCAGCACAGCCGTTGGCACCCAGCAGATGTCCCATAGTGATGTGTTGAAATGAGTAAGTTTGAGCCTCTGAATGGATTCTGGGTGCCATGGTTCTATTGAAAGGGATTATCAGGGCCTGTAAGTGGTGACTGAAGGTCATTTGTAATTCCTTTCCAACCCCCACCCCATCATCCCACAATGGGGCTGGAGTTTGGGGAATAAGGGTTGAGCTGGGAGGGGAGCCTTTGCATGGAAGACAAGGCAGAGAGACCTACAGGTAAGGATGCTTTACCTGATTGGGGCAGTGGAGTTCTCCAGCTTCCACCAGGCCTTGGGGGGGTTTAGGTAGCGGCACCACAGCTCCCAGTCAAAGCCCTGGGCGGCCAGTGGGTACTCTTCTATCTCAAAGTTGTCATATTTGATGTTGTCAAAGGATGGTGAGATGATCCGTTTCCGGTTCTCCTTTATGCGGGTGAGCACAGGTTCAGCCCTGAGTAAGAGGGAGGGAGAAAAGGGTGACTGCTTCCAAGGTGGATAAATACTAGACTGGAGACTCCTAAAGCTCCTTCCCCTGCAGAGAAAGGCAAAAAACCACCTGGCTATTTGCTCCAGCAGGTTGCTCTGCCTCCTGGGAAGGAACCCCGGTTTAACCTCTACCCCACCCCCGCCTCCCCATACTTCTAGGTTGGCAAAAGGCCTGGCCACTCCTGCAGCATGTCCTGGGCTGACTGAGAGATTCTTACTGCCTTAGATCCTTGTGTCTGTTTGCTTTCCCTTTTTCCACTAGGAAAAAAAAAATCAAGACCTAAGAAAGAAGAAAGAGATCTGAGGTTCTATAGGAAGCTTTCAACCTGGGCTTTGATTTTGCTAAAATTCAGTGTATCAACCAGGAGGAAAAGGCAGATGAAGATGGCAGAGGCATGGAAGTGAGAACAAACTTATTTCCACCAATTATTAAATGCTGCTTCAGTCCTCCAGACGAGCCACCCCATCCCACGTGTTCTCCACTGCTCCAGGAGAGGTGGGGAGTAGGGCTTTCCAAGCAGCCAGGAGGTCCCTATGGGCACCAGGCAAGTAAAGTGTTTGCAGACAGGAATGACGAGCTTCTTATTAATAATGCATTTGTTGCATAATTGTTTATTCAAATCAGCTTGAAATGGTAAGCGTCCCTCTCCTCTTCTGGCCATAAATCCAATGAAAATGCTTTTTAAATAGTCACAAATGGCAAGCAGGGACTTCAACTATAAAAAACGGCTTCATTGCAGCCTTAATTTGAGCCTGTTATGTAAAAGCATGCCCAAATCGAGCCATGTGGTGTGCATGCCTGGCTGCTCCTTCCTACTTGAGGGCCCTCCTCACCCCGGCTCTTTGCAAAGCCACACACAGTGGGCTGGCCACAGCGCACCACCCGGCCCTGCAGGGAAATGGGTATCAGGTGCCCCATCCCTGCTTGGTTGCAGCCACTGAGGCCATACACCTTTTCTCCTGCCCCATGTGGCAGCTGAGCAGCCCTGACCAGACAAAGGAAGGTTTTGTAAGACCCAGTTTCACCAGTAGGGAAAATCTGAGATATTTGTTATATCTGGTCTGGCATTTTGGGGGGTCCCACCTATGATAACATCAAGCTACCTTCTCCCCCTCTGACCCCTGGGCCTTGATCCTGTCTGTGGGGTTGGGCTCCTGCCTCAAGTCTGGTCCAGCTGTCCCTTGCTGAGCAGTTGCAGCTCTGTCCTTAGCTGGGCTGGTACTCTCAGCTTTGCCCTTAGCATTTACCTTCTCCCAGATCCCGCCTCCTAGAGGAAGACACTAGCCAGAGTCACACCCTATGTCACCATACCTTTTAGACACTGTGCTTTGACCTGTTGATCCCTGACTCTCCCCTGCCTCGAAGGGCCAGCCCTGTTGCCTACATCAGTCACACATCCAGATCTCAGCTGTTACCTGAATTCTCTCCTTTCCCCACTATGACTGAGGTCCCAGCATGCTTTGCACTCCTTTGAGCCACAGCCCTGGACCACACTGGGACTCATCTTCCTCTCCTGATGGTCACTTACCAGCCCACGTTGAACTCCACATGGGCATCGAAGAGGGCCACTACAGGGGCGGTGGCCACCCTCCAGCCGCTGACTCGGGAGCGGATGAGGCCTTCCTGCTTGCTGTGGCGCACGACTTTGATGAAACCCGGCTTCTGGCCATTCACCTTGTCCACATACTCCGTCAGCTTCTCCTTCAGCTCCTCTGGGAGGGAGGAAATGCACCATTAGCATAATGGGGGAAGGTGTGATTAAGATATTCACCCTCTTAGGGTGAACTGACTCCCCCAGAGAGAGGCTGGAGGGTCTATTTCCCTTTCCACGTCTCCTTAATCTTCCCCAGGATGGCCAGCACCACTCAGCTTTGAAGGGAAACAGTTTGTATTGAGCTCAGCAACTCTCACAGGGCCACATGCGTCACACATCCTGTCTATTAAATCCTTACAACCAGCCCACGGGAAAATGGGGCTCAGAAGGGTTTCTCAATTTGTCCAATGCCATGCAGCGTGAGTGGCATGGGCTGGTTTCAAGCCAGGTCTAATGACTTCAAAAGCCATATTCTTCTCATCAGCTCAGTGGCCTCTTTCTTCCCCAGTACCCTCCACTGGAGCTCCTCTAATGCCCAAAGAAAGCGTCCATCTGTGAAGATTACAGCCCGGGACCCAGTCCTGCCTGGATCTCCATCTTTCCAGGAAGTGGATGACCAGGCATTACGCCACGTGAGCAGTTGGTATTGGTTTGTTGCCTGCTGTCGCCTGGCTAAGCATCTGATTCCCCTGCTTCTTCGTAAATGTAGATGGCTCCTGTGGGCTCGCCTCTCAGCAGGTGATAGCAGAGCCGCAACATTCATTGGGTTTTCCACAGCAGTTCAGGCAACTGCCTATGCCACCCCTTTCCCCAAGATGACTGGAGTGGACTGCATTCTCCTACGTGCAACCACTGTACCTCCCCAGGACTCAGTTTCCACCCTCTTCCTGTGTTCTCCAGGACTGCCCCTTCAGGTGCCCTCCTCCACCTTCTCAGCCCGCCCAAGCCCAGGCCCTGGGACAGACCCACTTGGGCTGAGCCTCGTCCCTAATAGAGGACGGAAGGAGTTCCATGTCCCTCGGTGCCAGGTCTGGGGCCCTGCCAGAAAAGGGTATGAGGTAGCAGGCACAGTGCCTGGCAACAGTGGGCGTGCCCCATGGCAGCAGCCCTGTGTACTAGAAAGAGGATGGTGTTTGGAGTCAGCAATACAGCCTTTTAAGGCTGCTTTCCATGTATTAGTGCTATGATCCTGGGCCTGTTATGAAACTAGTTGTTGATATCTAGGTGGATGTCTGGATGTGGTGAATGTATTTTGCATGTGGTAAGGACATGAATTTTGGGGAGCCACAGGGTGGATTGTTAGGGGTTGAATTGTGTCCCTGCAAAAAGATATGCTGAAGTCTAACCCTAGTACCTTAGAAGGTGACCTTATTTGGAAATAGGGTCTTTGTAGATTTAACTGAGTTAAGATCCTTATGTCCTAATCCAATATGACAAGCATTCGTAAAAAAGGAGGAACTTCGGACACAGACACCGATGCAAAGAAGGAAGACAAGTAGGGAAACAGAAAGAGAAGATGACCACCTATAAGCCAAGGATGATCTGAGGGTACCAGAAGCTAGGGGGCCTGGAACAGATCCCTCTCTATCACCTTCAGACCGGGCATGGCCCTGCTTGATTGGGACTTGATTTTGGACTCCAGAATGGTCAGACAATAAATTTCTATTGTTCTAAGCCACCCAATTTGTGGTACTTCGTTATGGCAGCTCTAGGAAGCTAAGATAGTTGTTATGAGGATTAAATGGGATTAACATGTGTGAAAAATGCATAGCATGTTGTAGATGCTCAAAACAAAAATGCTCCTTTCCCCCCTTCGTCAGTTTCCATCACATTGAGAGTTTTAAGAGAAGAAGGAGCTGCAAAGCCTTCTTCATGTGCTCTGGTTCAGGACCACCTCCTCCTGCTCTGCCCTGTCTCTAGGTTAGAAGTCTGCAAGCAGCAAGGCCATGGTGGCCAAGCAGGAGATACGAGCATGTGCAGGGACCTCGTGCCCAGGGAAGACCATCAGGCATGGTGGCCACTGCCAGAACTGGTATGTCCTCCCGCAGACATTGATTTCAAATCTTTTTCCACATGATGCTGGTCAAATAAATCGGTCTGGATGGATGGGAAGGATATGGTCCCTAGGCATCCCTGCTTGAGTTCTCATCACCTTGGTGAGGGAACTGGGCATCCAGGGCAGAAATGCTGAAAGGAGGCAGCAAACTCAGGTCCTAGACAGCTACCAACTTGCTCTGTGATCTTGGGCAAATCCCTACAATTGCCAAGACCTCAGAGTCAGTTGGACAGGATTTTAGCTTTTGTTTCATACCAATTACCCATCTAAAGTTTGAATCCTCTCTGGCTAGCCTGATGAGTGATCATCCAGCTCCTGCAGTGACCAGAAACACTACACAGCCCATTCCTTAGTGGGCCACTCCAATGATTAGATGTTCCAAATGCCAGCATCCTTCCACCTCCACTCACTTGTCCAAGATTTATTTCGGGGCAAAAGGGGGCAGATCGAATTCCTCTTCCGCATGACAACCATTTAGAGTGAAAGACCATCCTAAAGTCCTTGCTGGGATTTCTCTAGGTCAAATGTCTTTAGTTCTTCTGTATATTTCCTCACATCTCTGAGTTCAGGTTCTTTTATCATGCTGAACTTCCCTCAAAATATGTGCTTTTCTTTAACACTTTTAAATTATGCACCTAGAAACTGGCCTAATACTTATGGAGTAAATTGGGCTATACAGAATAGAATGAACGAATCACTTCCCTTATTCTAGAACCTCTGCACCCATTCATATAGATGAAGGTCACATTAATTTGGCCTGCTTTTGACTCAAATTGAGCTTCCCGGAAACAGACAACTACAGGCCCTTTTCACATGGTGCTGCTAAGTCAGGCTCCTTCATCCCTTTTCTTCATGGCTGCATGCATGTGTTGGTGCATGCTTGTGTGTGTGTGTGTGTGTGCGCGCGCGTGCGTGCGTACGCACGTGCGCGTAAGCATTCTCTGAGCCAAAACATAGGCTCTTATGTTTAGTCCTCTTTCCTTCAATCTTTTTAAAGATTTAACCATCTCTCTGAAGTCAGAATGTCTTGTCCCTGATTCTGTTGTCCAGTGGCTTTGTGATCTAGCCCTCCAGCTTTCTGGCTTCTGCAAAAGTGATCAGCGTATGGCCTTGATTATCATTCGAGTCATCCTTGTACACAGTGTGACCCTTCTCCCAGAGTTAGGGCCAATGAGGCCTGTCAGGCTTTCTCGTTCCAACCTGATGAAAATTCAGGTGACTTTTAGGCTGCCGTTAACACACCATGTATCTCATTTTGGCAGCTGTGAACACGACCTCATGATCTCTGAACACACAGCCAACTGGGGAGGCCTGGAGGTGCCGCTGTCTGCAGGTGTCACGAGGTCAGCCATAGAGTGGCCTAACTCAATGTGCCCCAGGCTTACAACGTCTTCAAGCATGGCTGCCAGGAGGCCTCTTAAAACATTTCCTGTTCCATCTCTTCAAAGGTCCATCTATCATATATCCTTTTTAGAAAATTTTAAATAGAACTCAAAAAGTGTAGTATTTGGACTTTTGATGGTGGCACGAGTCTGGGAACTTGGAATAGGAAGTGGGCTAATACCAAAGGATACCTTTCCTCACCTGCAAGGGGGACATACTTGTCCTCTTCTCTCCCTTTCCACCCCTTGGGTGAGAACCACTGCCTACAGGACCACTGTTGTTGAGGTTATTGGTGGCACGGGGCCGTGGATGACTGCCACCCAATGATCCTCCAAGAATCCCGCCTCCCTGAATTCGCATCCTTGTGTAGTTGCTCCACACGCTGAATCTGGACTGACCATAGGGCAACAGGATGCAGCAGGAAGGACCCAAGCTGGTGGCAGGCCTAGGCCTTAGGAGGCTTGTAGCTTCTGCTTTCATTGTCTTGCTGCCCTAAGTTAGGAAGACCAGCCTCCTTGAGCTTGAGAGGCCCAGGGAGTCCTCCATTAATTTAGGCCACCCCACTGAGGCCCAGACATGTGAGTGAGGCCATCTTGGATCCTTCAGCTGACTGTAAACGCAGAGGTAGCCCAGCTGACACCCTGTAGTACAGACACGAGCTGCCTTATTGCAGAATTGTGAGCCAATAAATGGTTGCTCTTTTAAGTCACTAACTTCTGGGCTGGTTTGTTATACACAAAGGCTAACAAAACAGGCTCTATTATTCTGGTATGGTGCTGAGGTTATAGTAAGATTGTGAACTCCTGATGCACAGAAAATGTGAAGGGCCAGACAGATACAGAAGAACCACTTAGAAGGTGGCAGCAAGAGAAGAACAGTCTTTGCTTCTCATAGGAGCTGCTTGCACCTTTGTACCTCTGAGCTCTGTTAAAAGAACTAGAATAAAGGTTTCTGGTGGACCAGCTAGAGAAAAATTCTGTTCTCAGCCTGCTGCATCCTGGACACTGCCTACAGATTAGAGGACAGCATTCCCTTAGCTCTGATCAAAAAGCTGCTATCAAAATTCAAAAAAGTCCTGAAATACTGCAGATAATATTGGCTCATAGTCTTTGCAAAGTACCTTTGCCTAATTAGGTTTTCGTGTTTTCCTTCAGCTTTTATTAGTTGCCAAAGCAGGAAAGAACTATCTCAGAGGCATTCTGCATTTGCTAGGAAACTGTGGTCCAAGATACTGCCTATTACATATTATCTATAATGTATATATGATAAATACCTCTCAGAACTCAGCTCAAAAAAACATGAAGAACTTGTGGTTTTCTTTATACCTAAACACAAATCCGCAACCCTTCATATTGACCTTTTTGCCAAGGCTGCCAGGAAGCTCAGAGAAAAATCTAATGACTCATCACAGGGTTCAGCATTTTTGCCTCTCTACCTTTGCTAAAGATTTGATGTTCAACTTCTTGTCTCCAAGCTGCATTCTTTTACTTTTTTCCCCCTTTGTAAGCTACCTTTAACTACTTCTTGAAATATCTATAAATAACTTTTTAAAAAAAGATTTTATTTATTTGTCAGAGAGAGCGAGAGAGGGAACACAAGCAGGGCGAGTGGCAGGCAGAGGGAGAAGCAGGCTCCCTGCCGAGCAGGGAGGCCGATGTGGGACTCGGTCCCAGGACCCG